ACCAGCTACGATGCCAGCATCCTATGTGGCTGCTGGTTTGTGTCTTGACTGCTCCGTTTACAATCCAGCTTCCTGCTGACGCACATGGGGAAGCAGTACAATATGGTCCAGGTGCTTGGGCCCCTACACCCAAGTGTGGGACACAGCGGGAACTTTCTGCCTCTTGGTTTCAACCTGACCCAGCCTTGGCTGTTGTGGCCATTTGTTTGTTTGTTTGCAAGGCTGTTACAGAGAGAAGCAAAAACCCATGTGCAGGCTCACAGTCCAGCGTCCAGCAGTTGGGTATGGGCAGGTGGAAGGTGGGAGCCTGAATCTCTCTCCAGGGCTCCTAGCTGGGTGGGTCACAGGTGAGCTAGCAGGGAGCTGAAACTGAAGCAGAGCAGCCAGGACTTGAACTGCTGCTCCCATGAGGGGTGCTGCTGGAGTTGCTGCTCTACATCACCGAACACTTTCCTGGCATTTGACATAAAACTTTCACCTCTGCATTTAACTTTACATTCATTCCTTTTTAAGCTATCTTTTAGAATTGAAGTTTTGTGAGTCATTGGCGCTTCCCCCCTCTTTGCTTTCTATTCTTTATAGCTTATAGAAAATGAGTATTATTTGTTACTTAAAAGCTGGAGCAATATGGATACAACTATATAAACTTGAGCTTAAAAAAATTTTTTTTAAACCTTTTCTTCTTTCTCTCTGCCTGCCCCTTCCTTCAGCCTTTTCATTTCTCAATTCAGTTGTAGCAATTGATGTTTTGCTCAAAAACTGCTTCCTTGAGATTTTCAAATTTATATAGGGCACTTGATTTTTGAGATAGCTTTATCAAGGGGTGAAAAAGAAACCCGCCCTCACAGAACTCAGATTGTACACAGAAAGAAAATGAAAAGAACTTGCATTCCACTCCTTTTGGTTTTATATTGCTCCCTTTCATTCTGCTTCATTTTTGTGTGTGTGTGGTTTGTTTTTCCTTGATTACACTTGTTAATGATTTATCAATTTGCTGGATTTCTCCCTCACCTCTGAAAAATAATCCCATCGTTCACACTTATTTTAGCATTTATTCGTTTCCTCCTAGTTTTAAAATTAGTGATTTTTAACCACTCATTTGTACATTTAAACTGTAAGCTCTTATGTGAAATCCCAGGATACAAAGTGGATGAAAGCCAGGCACTTGTGACTAAAGCGAGCGGGGAGAGAGGGGTACGGGAGCAGAGTTTCCCAGGGCCCCTCCCTTGACCTGCCACCCTCCCTCTTCCTTCTCAGGGGTTTGTGGCCCCAAAGAGCACTGTGGGAAAACCACCGTTCTAATTCATTAATTCCTGCTTTTATCTTCATTGCTTCCTTCCTCTTGTTTTCTATGAGCTTGTTCTTTTGCTCTGTTCTGATGTTTCTTGTTCAGTGATTATTACATTTAGTTTCATTCTTTCATATTTAACATGGTAAATATTTAAATCTGAATTTCTCACTGTGTAATGACTATATCTTGTAAAAGTTTGTGTAGGTGATTGTAATTTTTGAGTTTCTCTTGGACCTGTGATACATGTAGGAGTATATGTTTTCCAAGTCCAAATGGGGAGAGATTACTTTTTTTTTTTTTTAAATAAAGATTGATTTATTTACTTGAAAGGCAGAGGTAACTCTCCATCTGTGGATACTTTCTAAGTGGTAATAGCAGCTGGGGCTGGGCTGAACCAAAGCCTGGAGCTCTTCTAGGTCTCCCACATGGAGAGACCTGATTACTTTGGCCAGTCTTCCTCTGCTTTCCCAGGTGCAAGGAACTGTATCTGACAAGGAGCTCTCCTGTTAGTCATTTGATCCATTTTGAGTTAATTTAAGAAGTAGTTATATTTAAAAAATAATTTATATTTTAAAAGGTCATTTAGTTAAAAAGAAGAAAATAGCATTTGCACTCTCCTCCTCTGGTTCATTGCCTAGCTGCTTGCTTGCAGTGTCAGAGGTACCAAAGCCAGGAGCTGGATTCTCAATCCAGATGTCCCACACAGGTGGCAGGAGACCAGTCGCTGAAGTTCTCCCCACTGCCTCCTCGGATCTGGCAGACATCTGGAGCCAGAAAATCAGAGGCAGAAACCAAGCCCAGGCTTTCGATGCAGAAGGAAGAGTCCTCACTGGCATCTTACCTGCTCAGACACCTCTACTTTGGTTGAATTTGGTAGTATATGGTGTAAGATCAAGTTCAACATATTTATTTGTTGAAGGAACTATTCCCTGCTGAGCTTCCTTGACTCACTTGCCAAAAACTGACCATGAATGTGAAAGTTTATTTCTAGATGGTCATTCTTTTCCTTTGACAATTTATCTTGGGGACCCGTACCCTTTTGTCTTAAGTGCCCTAAGTTTGTAGTAGAGTTTGAAATTGCAAAACGGGCAACCTCCAAATTTCCTTTTCCGAAATTTGGGGTGTTCTGGATCACTTGAGTTTCCAAATGAATTTGAGCCTCACCACATCAGTTTGTACAAATGAAACCAGCTGGGATTTTCGTAGGGCTTGCTCTTAATCTTTAGTTAAGTTTGGGTGGTATTGCCATCTTAATAACATCAAGTCTTCTGCTCTGTGAACGTAGGCTATCTTTCTACTTATTCAGGTTGTTATTAATTTCTTTCACCAGTGTTCTTTTGTTTTGTTCTTTTTTTAAAGATTTATTTTTTATTGGAAAGGCAGATTTAGAGAAGGAAAGGCAGAGAGAAAGATCTTCTGCAACAGCCCAAGCTGAGCTGATCTGAAGCCACGAGCCAGGAGCTTCTTCCAAGTTTCCCATGTGGGTGCAGGGTCCCAAGGCTTTGGACCATCCTCAACTGCTTCCCCAGGCCATAAGTAGGGTGTTGGATGGGAAGTGGATCAGCTGGGATATGAACTAGTGCCCATATGGGATCCTGGCATATACAAGGCGAGAACTTCATTCACTGAGCCATCACTGCAGGCCCTGTACTTCTTTTGATAAATTTATTCTTAAAGGGCCCGGTGCAATGGCACAGTGGTTAAGGTCCTCGCCTTGAACGCCCCGGGATCCCATATGGGCGCCGGTTCTAATCCCGGCAGCTCCACTTCCCATCCAGCTCCCTGCCTGTGGCCTGGGAAAGCAGTCGAGGACGAGGATGGCCCAAAGCTTTGGGACCCTGCACCTGTGTGGGATACCCAGAAGAGGCTCCTGGCTTCGGACCGGCATAGCATCGGCCGTTGTACTCACTTGAGGAGTGAATCATCGGACGGAAGATCTTCCTCTCTGTCTTTCCTCTCTGTATATCTGCCTTTCCAATAAAAATTTAAAAAAAAATAAATCTTAAAAAATATTCTTAAGGCACTTAATTCTTTTTTAATTTGAATTTTTAGTTTTAAATATTTTGTTCTTTGTTATATAGAAATAGGAGTTGATTTTTGTGCATTGATCTCTGGCCTGCAAGCTTGCTGAACTCTTTTTATTGGTTCTAGTAGTTTTTCTGTTTTTGTTTTTTTAATGGGTTTCTTAGGGTTTTCCATGTGCAAGATCATGTCATCAGCAAGCAGAGTCATTGTTTATTTTTGATCTGGATGCTTTTAAATTTCATTTTCTTGCATGATTGCCTTGGCTAACATCTCTAATTGAGTGGTAAAAGCATAATCCTTGTCTTGTTCCTGAACTTAGGAACAGGAGGAAAGCATTCAGTCCTTCACCCAGGAGCCTGGTGTTAGTTGTCAGTCTGAGAAAACTTTCTTCTATTCCTAGTTTGTTGGCTGTTTTTTTTTTTTAAATCATGAACGATTGTTGCATTTTATCCAGTGTTAAGATGAGCATGTTGGCTTGTTTTTCCTTTACTGTTTGGATATACTGTTATATTAGTTGACTCTTGAATGCCATTTATTTTTTTGCCTTTCAGTTCAGTTTCCCTGTCCTCATTCTCTAGAAGTCAAAGGACCCTGGAGGAACTCAATAAAGAATGGAGGCAATGGATGCAAAGTTTGGGTATTGATGAGGGTCCTTTGTGAAATTTCCAGCATCCAGGGCTCTGGACCTCATTGAAAGTCCCCATGGGGAAAAAAAAAGTCCCTGTGATGGCTGTCAGGATTTCTTGTTTTGTGTTGTTCAGCGATATGAATGAGAAACAGCTTTCTTGGAGTGCTGTGTAACTTAACTGCTTAAATTAATTACATCATTTTGATAGTATATATTGATACAGTTTTCTACAGGCACTACTTTTGGAGGTGGAACATTTTAACTATATTATTTATGTGATGGTGGTAAAGCTTTTATGCAGAATAAAGTGTGTAGCAAATATTTCTGGCACATGTAATTATTATCAGTGTATTTTGTCTTTTAAAATTTGTAGGACCCTCCATTTCTCTCCTCGGTATAACATGATTTGTTTCTTCTTATGTATTTCCATCGTGTCCCTATTTTATAGAGTGTGTTCACATTAATTGCAGTTTCCTTATCTTGGGCACATTTTTCTTTTCCATGTGAACTCCTTCCGTTGGCTGCATTGTCACTTTCATTGATGATGTATCTGTTAATTAATGCTGCTGCTTTGAATTCCTGCCCGTTTTATTCTTGATTTCACAGTTCAGCTCTAGTTCTTATTTCAGCTCTATTTATTGGTATTTCTTTCTAGTGCGTACTCGCCCGTGACCTTCTGTAACGTATTTGTCATATTTCTGTGTTTATAAAATTGACAGTCTCTCCTCTTCTATCAGTGATAATGAATATGTAAATTTTTCTTTGAAATGGCCTAAAGAATAGTTATTTCTTACGGTCATTACACACATTACCTTCCTAAATCCAGAAGGTCTTCGATTATCAGAGCATGTCACTCGTAGGCACATGCGAGTTTTAGCTATTGGCCATTCTGATACAAGCTATGTAATATAAAATTCATCCTGTTATCTGTTACATTTTTCTGCAGCTGTAAAGTTTTTGCACGGAGAACAGCACCCATTTCTTAATCCCGTAGATCTTCCTGTTGTGTCCTCGCTACCTCTTCTTTTCTGTTGACAGTTTGGCTCTTCTTTTCAGATACTGAGGATTTCCTGGCAGAAGTTTTGCGGAATGAGAACCTCAGTGCTGTGGCGAGGGACCACGGGGACCATATCCTGCGTGGCTTTCAGCAAGTCAGGGCGAGGTTCGTATAACCTGACTACCTGCCTCTTGATCCGAAGCTTTACAGCCTTGCGTGCTATAAAATCTAGTATAGTGCTCTGTCATGAAGGTAAGTCTCAGGTAGTTCCTGAGACCTGATAGAAACTTGATAGACATTCGCTGAAGTGAATTGGAGATAAGCCAGCAGTTAGTTTCCTGAAGTAAAAATTTATTTTGATAATCATCACTTAAAACAATTGTTCTACTTTTAACATTGAAGTTTTAGATTGGTTTTTATTGGATGATACTATATTTAACAAAAAGAATGATGAACACTGACCACATGTGTTTGTACAAAGTAGTCCTGGGATGGTGTTAGGCATAGGGGATTACTTTCGTGTTAAGTTTTTGGTACTGATTTTACTTCTACATTTCGTTCCCTAACAGAAGACCTGCTAGAATTACCCAGTTAATTTTTTTTTTTTTTTACCATATTGGAACATTTAGCACAAAGCTGGGTTGGAATATCATGCTTCTAATGTTTTTTGGGGGATAAGGTCTTAACCTAACTGGTGATTTTTTAGAGTGTGAGCAAGCATCCGGCTGATGAATGTACCTGCCTGGGGAGAGAAGAAATCAGAAATTTCCATGACAGTCTATTTCTCCACTACCTCTTGCCTGAAAGTCGGACTAGAGTTCAGGCAAAAGTGTTAGCCTTTCCATCCTTTTGCCGTGTGATTCAGAATATTTGAACTTAGGAAAAGAGGAGCCACTGCAGGGTTATGACTACAATTTAATTTGTGTGGCTGACCGTTCTGTGCAATCTACTTTAAAAATCTTATTGAAATGCCTTCGAAGCAGAGAATTTTATCCCTTGGAAGGCACCGGCTGAATCTTTCCCTCTAGGAGTGGGAGAGACCCTCTCGAGACACCCTGCTGGATCTTAATCGATCTTCCTGCTGGTTAATTAAGCATCACTTTTACTCAGCAACTGGGGACTGTGTAATTATAAGCCTGGGTTGCCCTGAACAATTGACACAAACAATATAGAAGATCATGGTTTTTTGTTTGTTTTTTGCAAAAGTGAGAATATTTATAATTTTTGGTAGGCTGGAGGAATGTTGGGAACAAACTTCTGTGTAATGTCACTTTTTTAGTAGATATGTTTAGACCTAGTGATGTACCTGGTGGCTTAGTTAATAACTGATACAATGTTTTTATTTGTACAGGTTTTTCTTTGTGTAATGGGTTTCTGTGAGGATAGTGTGAGGAATAAATGTGTGATTATTTAAAACTGAGTTGTTGAGAAAAAGATGTTTTAAGTATGTGTGTGTGTGTGTGTGTGTGTGTGGTGATTCCATTGGTCTAGATCTGTAAGAAGGAATGTGAAAATAATGTTGCTGCATCTGTAGGAACAGATATACCATGAGGAGGAATTGTTTCTTCCCATATTTGTATGATAGCATTGGAAAAGGTCTGTATCCCAATCTTAAGTTCATAACAAAAGGGGGATTTTGGCTAACTCATTATGGCTAACTGCATATCCCATGCTCACTGCCCTTTCAGATGTGTGCGTGCACACACACACACACACACACACACACACACACACACACACACAGATGCTCTGTTTGCTGTGGAGCAGAGAGGGTCTCAGTTCCCTAAGAACTTTTTGTGCGGTTTGGGGGTCGACACTCAGGAAACAGTCAGCAGGAGCTTCAGGAAACACCTGCATTACTGACGGGAGCTTCCTGCTCGTTGATTTGTTACAGCAAAGATGACACTTTATTTAGAATTTCATAATTATAAGATCATTAAGGAAATGAGGAGCTAGAAATAAGATGTTATACCAAAAAAAGGAAAAATGTGGTTTTCCTTTCTTTCCTTTGGCAAGCTGTTGGAAATTGTCTTGCATCCACTCATTCCATCATCTCATTCATGTAGCCTTCGCGGAACTGAATCTTCTTCAGCCACTCACCTTGGTCATCCCATTGTGCTCTCTATGTCTAAAGCCAAATGAATGTGAAAGCACTAGAAGTGGGGCTGGTGCCATGTCATACATAGCAAGTAAAGTCATTGCCTGTGGCACTGGCATCCCATGTAGGCACTGGGTTGAGTCCTTGCTGTTCCACTTCCAAACCAGCTCCCTGCTAATGGCCTGGGAAAGAAGCAGAAGATGGCCCAAGTCCTTGGATCACTGCAACTATGTGGGAGACCCCGAAGAAGCTCCTGGTGCCAGGTGTCAGATCAGCTCAGCTCCGACAAGTGTGGCCACTGTGGAGTGAGCCAGTGGATGGAAGATCTCTCTGTGTCTTCCTTTCCCTTAACTCTGCATTTTAAACCAATCTATCAATCTTTAAAAGCACAATGAAACGCCCAAAAGCTTGCAAAATACCAACTACATTTACCTGTGTTGTGAGTTAGGTCTTAAGTCCTCCAAAAAGCTGAGTATGAGAAAAAATTTGAAAGTCAATGAACTTGAGAGTTAACTGTGTATTGCGAATTGCTGAGTAACAGAAGAATTTGTGCACTTGGCATGAAGCAGACATGAGCGACAGACACCCAGAACTTGGTGGTGTTGTCACACACATGGAGAAACAGTGGAGTTTCTCTGGTGTTTGATCCGGTGGAGGCTGTCCGACAGCAAGGAAACATTGAGGGTGGTAGAAGGGCTAAAGAAAATAGAATATTTTTTTTATTATTGAGGCAGTGGTAACTTCTCTCATGATGGCCCTTTTTGGGACAAGAAGTCATTTATCTCCCTGTTGGAAGCCAAGAACAGAGCCAGTGCAAGCTTGGAGTATCGTTTCCTTCTGTGAAACTTAATAAGGCCAAAGCAGCTCTGAAAATAGACAAGTAAATTCATGGCATATCAAACTAGAAAGACATAAAGAAGTCACTGTGTGGAACAGGGTTAGAGGCGCTAAACCCACACACCCAGGACATTTAAAGTGCAGGGGGAGAGACACCTTGGCTGTGTCTCCTTGTGGGTGGTTAGCTTGGAGCCCTGCAGGAAACACGATAATTTAGAACAGCTCTCATAAAAGTAATGCTGGTGGGCCCGGAGTGATAGCCTATTGGCTAAAATCTTCACTTTGCATGTACCAGACTTCCATATGGATGCCAGTTTGTATCCCAGATGACATCCAGCTCCCTGCTTGTGACCATCCAGCTCCCTGCTTGTGGCCTGGGAAAGCAGTCAAGGACTGCCCAAAGCCTTGGGACCCTGCACCCACATGGGAGACAAACCCACATGGGAGTAAACTCCAGGCTTCTGGCTGCAGATCAGCTCAGTTCTGGCTGGTGCAGCCACTTGGGGGAGTGAACCAGTGGACGAAAGATCTTCCTCTCTGTCTTTCCTTCTCTTTGTAAATCTGACTTTCCAATAAAAATAAATAAATCTTAAAAAAAATAGTAATGCTGACTTTCTTGGGGCAGGGGTTGTGGGGTGAAGTAGGTTTTTTTTTTTGCTTAACATGGATTTAGTTTCAAAATAAGATTTAGTTTAAGAATACATGTGTCCCTGATATCTTTATTTTGCAGAAAACTAAGGCCAGGTCTGGCAAAAACTCCTAGGAGCAAGATTTTTCAAGTGGTTCGCCCAGCATATCATTATTGCTCACTCTAGGGAGTGTTACTTTTGCAGAGTATTGGTTATGGAGCTTAGATTCCCCCCACCCCAATGCAGAAGCAGGCATTCGGCACTGCGTTTCAGCTGCCACGTCAGAGTGTCTGGTTCAAGTCTCAGCTCTGCTTTTGATGACTGCTTCCTGCTGCTGCACACCCCGGGAGGGAGCAGGTCACAGCTCAGGTGCTCGGTGGGTTCCTGCCAGCCACCTGGTAGACCTGAAATGGGTTCTGGATTTCTGGCCTTGTCCTGGCTCAGTCCTGGCTGCTGCAGGTATTTGGGCAGTAAACCAGTGAATGGAGCATCTCAAATGCCACATGCATTCAAAGGAAAGGTAGTTGTCAGGTGAACTGATCTATCATGTGCTATTTACTCAGAAGCTCAGAGATTTTCTCATAGCATCTCCTAGTATTCTTTAATTTTGTGATTACACTCGAGTTTGAATGCCAGTGGCTTAAAAAAGGATGGGAGTATTTGTGTGATTTATTCAACTTTAAACACCTCCAGAAAGACTCAAAAGTCATAGCAATAGTTTGGCCATATCTTAAAGATAAAAAATTCATTTCTTCCCTTTTCAGACCCTTCTCTCTCTGCCATCCACAAAGTAAGAAAGAAAACAAAACCAGCAACAACATCAGGGTTGGCTCCCCACTCATCTGCAGATTTCCGCATTAGTTCAATGTTCAGTGAATACCTATTGAGAATTCATAATTGTGTTAAAGAGTTTGGATGATTGACTAATGTGGGAGGTTGGGGTATTGCCCATTCAGTGTGGCTGCAGCCAAGGCTGATATTATGTCCTCTGCTGTTGGTGTTGTCTGAATGTTGAAGATAGGAGTGAAGAGCGCCTAGCCTGCAGGCTGAAATCACTTGGCCTTACCAAGGCAACTGTAGGTGAGACTAGAAATTCAGTGAATCTAGGGCAGGTTGATTTTTAAGTTGATTATTTTGTATGCACTACAAATGGTGCAATTAATATCCAGGCGACCCTTGACAGAAGAAAGGTCTCAGCCCCCCACTCTCCCACCTGAGCTGATTGCTCGTTCTTTTGGCAGCCAGGCTCCCCCTCTTCCTTTCAGAAATGTGTAACTCTCCTTCACTCTCACAGCAATGATCATCTTGTTTATTCTTTCTCTTGCAAGGGTGCTCTGGATTTGGTACAAGTTCCAAATTGAGCTTGATGAATTTTTTTTTAGACATTCATCTGTTTTGAATGTAGTGTTGGGATAAAGTTGGGCAAATGCATTTATGTTTTAATTGAGAGGTGGAGAAAGAGGGACAGACAAACTGGCAGACTGACCTAGAAATAAGGAGTTTGTGTCCATTGGTTCAGTCCCCCAGTGCCCTCAGTGAGTGGAGCCACGCCAAGGCCAGAAGCAGGAGCCTGAAACTCAATCCAGGTCTCTCCTGTGGGT